CAAACAGTGGTCAATAAATCAGGACAGATGTGATACTGCCTATAAGGTAAAGGTAGTCCCCTGACATTAAGTCCAGTCATGTCTGACTCTGGGGTGTGGTGCTCATCTCCATTTCTAAGCCGAAGAGCCAGCGTTGTCCGTAGACACCTCCAAGGTCATGTGGCTGGCATGACTGCATGGAGCGCCATTACCTTCCCGCCAGAGTGGTACCTATTGATCTACTCACATTTGCATGTTTTCGAACTGCTAGGTTGGCAGAAGCTAGGGCTGACAGCGGAAGCTCACGCCGCTCCCTGGAATCGAACCTGCGACCTTTCGATCAACAAGCTCAGCAGCTCAGCGCTTTAACCCACTGCGCCACCGGGGGGCCCTATAGCAGTACTTTATATACCAAAACATCCTAAGAGTAGCCATCACTTGCCATTTACATTGGCAACATGTAATGTTAACATAAGAAGGCTATTCTGCACTATCCATCAACCCAAGCCAACAGGAACAGTGGTCAGGGATTGTAAAAGCCGGAGCTGAGAAAATAACACATTGTTTACCTTTTTCGGTGCTTAAAAATGACACTGGCACATTGGCTATGGAATTCTGGGAGCTTGTTATTCTGACAATAACCTCTTTTACCACAAAGATACTAGTGCTATGTACAAAGAAACCAAATATGTGCAACATGGTCTTTTTAACAGGAGGTTTGGGAATGGCTTGCTAGAAACATGGACATGATTAAGAAGAACCTCACTTGTGTCTTGCAACACATCTATTTCAGTCATATTACCCCCCATCCCATATCAAAAAGAAAATAATTGGGAAATTCATATAGTTTCCAGTAAAGGAAGTGAATATGCTAATGCTTTCATGATGGCAATCATACTAGTCCAACCACCAGGCATGCCAGTGGAGGAATGAATCCGATTTTGTTTTATCCATGGTGCTGAACTCAATTACAATCATAAATGCAACCCCTTGGATAGCCGTACCAAAGCTCAGACTCAAGGTATGGAATTAATACAGTTTCACACCACTTGTCATGGCCCAATGCTATGGAATCCTGGGAGCTGTAATTTTACAAGATCTTTAACTTTCTTTGTCAAAGAGTGCCATGTCTCACCAAACTACAACTCCCAGGGTTCTATAACATTAAGCCATAACAGTCCAAATGGTGTCAAAACACATTTATTCTACAGTGCAGATGCACCCTAAGACTCAGAGCAAACTTACTACACTGCTAACTCCAGATCTATTAGCTGGCCCCATCTGGCTAAAAGTTTCTGCACATTTATCTGAGAGTTAATCCCACTGAATTATATGGGAAATAAGGACAGGGATGTATGAAAAATGTGATTAAAATAATAGTGGCAAGTCAACCCTTTCAAAATATACATCACAATTCTAAGAAAATAACCATTTTAATGTTGTAGTGTCACACTTTTAAAAGTAAGATCATGTTCACATAAATAAGTTCTACCATGTTCAAGAAGACCTACTCCCAAGGCTTCATCTACACTGTAGAATGAATGCAGTTTGACAGCACTTTAACTGTCCTGACTCAATACTGTGGAATTGTCATTGTTTGGAGAAGCCCCAGCACTGTTTGGTAGAGAAAGCTAATGATCTTATAAAACTAAAACTCTTATGATTCCATAATACTGACCCATGGCAGTTCAAGTGGTGTCAAACTGTATTCATCCTACAGTGTAGATACACTCTTTGAGTAAATTGGCCACCTTGCTGACTCTAGACCCAGTGGCTGGCCCTTTTAGGCTGCAAGTTTACATGCACTTAGTGGGAAATAACTCCCCTTATGTATGCTAAGTCTTGTCTTAAACAATAGTAGTGATCCTATGAAAACATAAAAGTCACAGAAGAGTCTGATATATACATACAGGCAGTCCCCAAGTTATGAACAAGATAGGTTCAACTGGTTTGTTCTTAAGTTAAATTTGTATGTAAGTTGGAAGAGGTACAGTTTTAAGTGTAACTCCAGTCATATATATAGTTTTTGGTAGCCTAGAGAAGGGTTAACATCCCTGTGGGGTTTGTTTTCCTGTCTGTGCCCGTGTTCAGAAGATTCCACCTTACTTTCTGTCCCTGTGATAATTGGATTGTGAAAAATTTGGTCTGCTGTGGAAACAAGGATGGGTGCTAAAGCTTCAGTGGAGACACCTTTTCCCCATGATAATGCTTTCAGGAGTAAATTTCCTTCCTAAGGATAAATTTATCTCACTTCCTGCTGTGTCATCCCCCTTAAGGGTGAATCATTTGTACGTTGGATGTTTGTAACTCAGAGACTGCTTGTATATTATATTGGATGCCATTGATGAGATTTGCTTCTTCAGACATTATATAAAATATTTTCCTATATATTCTGTATGTGCCACTTTAATATTGTAAATTAAAATGAAAGGAGTTGTTAAATATTGAAATCCCTTTGTTCCCATATTTTGGAACTGCATGATATGGTCAGTGTAGACTTATATAATGCAGTGCAGACCCATATTATGTGGTTAAATTGCATTATATGATCAATGTAGACCCATATGTGTAGATCTAGAACTAGGCTGGATCTACAGTGCCATATAACACAGTTTGGAACTGCATTATATGGTCAGTGTAGACCTATATAATGCAGTGCAGACCCATATAATGTGGTTAAACTGCATTATATAGTTAGTGTGGACCCATATGTATAGATCCAGACTTAGGATGAACCCTATAGTTCAATTTGAACTGCAGTATATGGTCAGTGAACACCTACAGTGAAGACTCATATAATGCAGTTCAATGCAGTTAAACTGCATTATGTGCTCAGTGTAGACCCATGTGTGTTGATCTAGATGTAGGCTAGATCTACAGTGCCATATAACACAGTTATATGCACCATAGACCCATGTAATGTGGTTAAACTGCATTATATGATCAGTGTAGACCCATATGTATAGATCTGGACTTAGGCTGGATCTACACTGCCCTATAGTTCAATTTGAACTGCAGTATATGGTCAGTGAAGACCCATGTGTGTACATCTAGCTGTAGGCTGGATCTACACTGCCATATGATACAATTTGGAACTGCATTATATGGTCAGAGTAGACCAGTGGTTCCCAACCTTTGGCCCTCCAGGTGTTGAGGACTACAGTTCCCACAATTCTTAATAGCTGGTAAAATGGCTGAGATTTCTGGGAGTTGAAGTCCGAAATACCTGGAGGACCAAAGGTTGAGAACCACTTTAAATATCTTCACTAGTTTTCATATATTTAGACAACTCTATTAGCTAAGAGGGAGAGATATCAGTTCTAAAATACTGATATATTTGTAAGCCTAAGTCTGGATCTACACTGGCCTGTAGTTCAATTTGAGCTGCATCATACAGTCAGCGAAGACCATCTGAAAATGTCTATCCCCACTGTGGAAGATCATGTGGATCCAGAAGAGGTCTCTACAGTCATTTGTGGAACCCACCACAGAGGCTCTATGCTTGGAAAACAATCATACTCAACCATGAATGATAGCCGGTGATAATGCAGTGGACCCAAAGCAGTTACTCTACTCCCAACTCAAGAACGAAAAACGGAATTCTGGTGGACAGGAAAAGAAATTTAAAGATGGGCTTAAAACTAACCTTAAAAACTGTGGCATAGACACTGAGAGCTGAGAAGCCCTGGCCCTTGAGCACTCTAGCTGGAGGTTAACTGTGATCAGCAGTGCTGTGGAATTTGAAGAGGCACGAATGGAGGATGAATGGGGAAAACATGCCAAGAGGAAGGCACATCAAGCCAACCCTGACTGGAAGCACCTTCCACCTGGAAATCGATGTCCTCACTGTGGAAGAACATGTGAGTCAAGAATAGGGTTCTACAGTCACCTACGTATCCACTGCCAAGACCCTACACTTGGAAGGCCATCATACTCAGACAACGAGGGATCACCTAAGTAAGTAAGTAAGTAAGTAAGTAAGTATTGTAGACTCACATAATGCAGTTAAACTGCATTATATGGGTCTACACAAGGCATGGGCAAACTGGGTGTTTTGGACTTGGACTCCCACAATTCCTAACAGCCTCAGGCCCTGTCAAAGGCTCTCATGGCCAGAATCACAGGGTTGTTGTGAGTTTTCCGGGCTGTATGGCCATGTTGCAGACACATTCTCTCCTGAAGTTTTGCTGGCATCTATGGCAGGCACCCTCAGAAGTTATGAGGTCTGTTGGGATTTTCCTAGCACTATAGAGCACTTCATCACACTAGAGAGAAAAATCCACTTAAAATCCGGTTTCTGCCTCCTGCAGAATTCTTGGGTTTGTAGTTTAGTGAGGCTGTTAAGCCTCCTCTCTAAGCTACAAGCCCTGGAATTCTGTAGGAGGCAGTAACCAGATTTTAAATGGATTTTTTCTCTAGTGTGATTTGTGTGTGTGTGTGTCAGGAGCAACTTGAGAAACTGCAAGTTGTTTCTGGTGTGAGAATTGGCCGTCTGCAAGGACGTTGCCCAGGGGATACACGGATGTTTTGATGTGTTACCATCCTTGTAGGAGGCTTCTCTCATGTCCCTGCGTCGGGGGGTGGAGCTGATAGAGGGAGCTCATCTGCGCTCTCCCCGGATTTGAACCTGCAACCTGTCGGTCTTCAGTCCTGCTGGCACTGCACCACCAAAGGCTCCTTTCTAATGTGACGAGGCGCCTAGATTCCAGCAGACCTCACAACCTCTGAGGATGCCTGACATAGATGCAAATGAAATGTCAGAAGAGAATGCTTCTGGAACATGGCCATACAGCCCGGAACACTCACAACAATCCAGCCTCTGGGCTTAAGCAGCTGAAGGGGAAAAGGAAGGGGCCTGAGGCTGTTAGGAATGGTGAGAGTTCAAGTCCAAAACACCCAGAGGGCTGAAGTTTCCATGCCTGGTCTCCAATGACCATAGTTCCAGATAGGCTGATGGAGGAGTGTAGCAGCAGCCTGACCCCCAAGCTGGCCAGGGACACCTTCCCTCCCTGTCTCCTTACCCTGGCGGCGCGGGAGGAGTAGGGGTCTTCGAAGAGGGCCCACATGCGGGGCTGGAGCCTCCTCCACCGCCCTCCGCGCCCATCCAGGGTCGCCCCGTTGGGCCCCGAGCAAGAGGAGGAGGCCCCGCCGCCCCCGGCGCCTATGTCTTCGATGCCCAGGCGCTTGGCGGTGGCGGAGGCCCCTTGGTGGTGGTGGTGATGGTGGTGGAGGTGGTCCTCGTCGTCGTCGGCCTCGAGGGGCGGCTCCCCGGTGATGAGGTCGGGCGTCTCGAAGATGTCGAGCGCCTCCTCGGCGTCGCGGTGCTGGCGGTAGGTCATCCAGCAGCAGGGCTCCACGTCGGTCTCGTCGATGCCCCAGAAGGCCAGCTCCTCCTCGAAGAGCGGCCCGCAGACGTCGGCCGGGCAGTGCAGCTTCCCCGTCCGGTAGTAGTTGAGCACGTAGGCGAAGACGCCCGGGTGCCGGTCGAAGAAGAACTCGCAGCAGGACGACGAGGAGGAGGAAGGCGCCCCCGGACCGGCCGCCCCCGCCGCCACCACCTCATGGCCGCCGCGAGGGCCCCAGCTGCTCCCCAGGCCCTCCAAGGGGCCCACCACGGCGCCCGGGTTGGGGCCGGGGTTGGGGGCCGGCAGGGGCGGCGGGTGGTGCTGATGGGGATGATGGTGGTGGTCGTGGAGGTGCTGCTGCTGGTGGTGGTGGTGGTCCTCCCCGATGGCGCCTCCGCCTCCTCCTCCGCCGGAAGGGGACTCGCCTTGGGAGGCCAGCAGAGCCAAGCGCGTGCCCGGCAGCGTCTTCAAGGTGCTCCGGTAGGTCTCGTGCCTGGTGCCCCCGACGTTGAGGATCACCCTCTCGTTGTCCTCGAGCTTCCCCATCGCGGTGGTGGCTCAGACATGACTGAGGAGGAGGAGGAGGAGGAGGAGGAGGAGGAGAGCAGGAGGAGGAGAGGCAAAGAGAGGTGTTAGGTCAAGCATTGGGAAACCCCTTGGGCTCTTTCCTCAAGCCCTCCTCTCTCACACCATCCTATTCTTCCTTCCTTCTCTCTTTCTTTCCTTACTATGCTATTTCTCCCCCTCCTTCTCTTCCTCACATTTGTCCTTCCTTCCCTCCTCTTCCCTCCTTCCTTCCTCCCTCCATTCCCTTCACCCTTCCTTCCATCCTTCTTCTTTGTCCTTCCTTCCCTCCCTTTGTCTTTCCTTCTTTCTCTTTCATTCCTCCTTCCCTCCCTTACCTCCCTTTCTCCCTCCCTCCTTCCCTTTCACTCTTCCTTCCTTTCTTCCCTTTCCTCTCTCCTTCCTTCTTTCCCTTTGGCTTTCTTTCCTTCTCTCTTTTCTTCCTCTTTCCCTTCCTTCCTTACCTCCTTTTCTCCCTCCTTCCTTCCCTTTCTCCTTCCTTCCTTCCTTCCCTTTTTCTTTCCTTCTTCTCTTCCCTCCTCCTTCTCCTTTCCTCCCTTCCTTCTCCTTTCCTTCCTTCCTTCTTTCCTCCCTTCTTCCTCCTCTCCCTTTCCCCTTTCTTTCTTCCTTTCCCTTTTTGTCTTTTCTTCCCTTTTTCTTTCCTTCCTCCTCTCCTTTCCTCCCTTCCTTACCTCCCTTTCTCCCTCCCTTCCTCCTTCCTTCCCTTTCACCCTTTTGTCCTTCCTTCCTCCTTCCCTCTCTCCCCTTCGCCTTCCTTCTTTTCTTTTTTCTTTCCTTCTCTCTTTCCTTCCTCCTTCCCTCCCTCACTTCCTTACCTTCCTTTCTCCCTCCCCCCTTCCTTCCCTTTCAACTTTCCTTCCTTCCCTTTCCTCCCTCCTTCCCTCTCTCCCTTTCTCCTTCCTTCCCTTTAGTCTTTCCTTCCTTCTCTCTTTCCTTCCTCCTTCTCTCCTTTCCTCCCTCCCTCCTTCCCTTTCACCCTTTTGTCCTTCCTTCCTTCCACCCTTCTATTCTTCTCTCCTTCCCTCTCTCACTTTCTCCTTCCTTCCTTCTCTCCTCCCTCCCTCCCTGTATTCTCTTCCAACCTTCCTTCCATCCATCCTTCTATTCCTCCCTTCCTTCCTTCTCTTTTTCCTTCCTCCTTGCCTCATGGGGGGTGTTTAGCTGGGAGAAGAGTTGGCTGAGAGGGAATATGAAAAGATTTAAAGGGGTGTCCCATTGAGGAGGAGGAGGAAGAAGAAAACTGACTTTCTGTTGGTCTAGAGACCAGGGCAGAAGGGAGCAATGGTTTCAAATGACAGGGAAAGAGATTCAACTGAAAAGATTAGGAAGAACTTCCTGGCGAGTGGCATAGTCTGCATGGGAATGTGGTGGAGTCTCCTTCTCTGGAGGCTTTTCCGCAAAGGCTGTATATTAGTAGTGCTTTGATTATGCCTTCCTGCATGGAAGGAGGTTAGACTGGATGGCCCTCTTCCAGTGCTAGGATTCTATAGCAGGAGTAAGCAATATGAGGTCTAATGGATACAGTTTTTCCCTGGCATTCACCATCTCATCCTGGCCAAGGCCAACCCTTTTGGGATCCAAATGTTTATGTCTTTCCTTCACTTTCTGCTTCCAAAAGAGAAGAAGAAGGAGAGGAAAGGACAGGGAGGGGGCTTGGGGAGAACCCCCTCTCTCCCAGTCCACCCACCATTGGCACCCATGTTAGAAAGTTTGCTCATGCCTGTTTTAGTGGGAGGAAAGGGGAGAGGGGTGCAGAAGGGGGGCTAAGGAGAGAGCAGGGTTAGGGCTTGACTGCTACTGTGCCTTTCCTCTTCATCCTATGTTTTCAATCTATGAATTATTTCTCCCACCCTGAACATTCCACAAGGCAACCACACTTGCCTAGTTTCTAACAATCCTGACAACCTCTGAGGATGCCTGCCATAGATGCAGGCGAAATGTCAGGAGAGAATGCTTCTGGAACATGGCCATACAGCCCGGAAAACTCACAGCAACCCATGGCCCCTTTGCTTTCTCTGTGTTGGGTCTCAGTTAACCTGAACTCTCGAGCAACTGGCAAACCAATGAAGCAACTAACCGTTGCTGTGAGTTTTCCATGCTGTATGGCAATGTTCCAGAAGCATTCTCTCCTGACCTTTCGCCCCACATCTATAGCAGGCATCCCCAGAGGTTGAGGGGTTTCTATTTAAACAGCCAGTTATGAAAATGAAAACTGCTTCAGGGCATTGGTTGATTCACAGAGATTATTCAGGACTTGATCTTTGAGACTGGCAGTGTTTTGACTCCTTTTCAATTTCACCTAGGAATACACCTGGGAGTTGAAGTCCAAAACACCTGCGGGAGCAGAGTTTGAAAAACACTGGCTTATACTATAGCTTTTTCCAGCTTCTGGCAACTCTGTCACAGGATTTTATTGGCAATATTCTTTCAAAGGATGCATTGCCAGTGTCTTCCTCTGAGGTCAAGAGAATATGACTTGTGTTGTCGAAGGCTTTCATGATCAGAATCACTGGGTTGCTATCAGTTTTTCAGGCTGTATGGCCATGTTCCAGAAGCATTCTCTCCTGACATTGCACCCACATCTATGGCAGACATCCTTCGAGGTTATGAGGTCTGCTGGAAACTAGGTAAGTGAGGTTTATATATCTGTGGAACGATGTCCAGGGTAGGAGAAAGAACTCTTTTCTGCTTGAGGCAGGTGTGAGTGTTGCAATTGGCCAGCTTGATTAGCATTTAATGGCCTTGCAGCTTCAAAGCCTGGCTGCTATTTTATTATTTATCGTGCCAGAAGCAAACTGAAAGTTCAGTTGCAATGTATTTAAAAACACAAAGTTAAAAACATGGCATTATATTAAATATTTTTGACCAATAGCTGCCCATTTGGAATGCCTCTGATGTTGCTGTAAGAAGGTCCTCCATTGTGCATGTGGCAGGGCTCAGGTTGCATTGCAATAGGTGGTCTTCTGCTTCCTGCCTAGGGGAATCCTTTGTTAGGAGGTGTTATCTGGTCCTGATAGTTTCCTGTCTGGAATTCTCCTGCTTTTTTAGTATTGCTCTTTATTTACTTTTATGATTTTTTAATATTAGTAGCCAGATTTTGTTCATTTTCAAGGGAACCACTGACCACATAAGGAAGCTGATGAAGAAACACAACCTACACAATCTATAGACCCACTAAGAAAATCCAACAAATGCTAATTTCAGCAAAGGATAAGAGGGATCCTCTCACCTCTGCAGGAGTCTACCGTGTACCATGCAGCTGTGGACAAGTCTACATAGGGTCCACCCAACGCATCATCGCCCAAACACGAATCAAGGAACATGAAAGGCACTGCAGACTAACTCAACCTGAGAAGTTAGCCATAGCAGAGCATCTAATGAACCATCCTGGACACAACATATTATCTGAGAACACAGAAATGCTAACAACTACCATGTCAGATTACACAGAGAAGCCTTTGAAATCCACAAGCACATAGACAATTTCAACAGAAAAGAGGACATAATGAAAATGAACCAATCTAGCTACCAGTATTCTTTATTTTAAAAATCTCTAAAATCAGGAGAGTAAATAAAGAGCAACACTCTGAAAGCAGGGGAAATCCAGACAAGAAACAATCAGGGCCAACTAACACCTCCTAACAAAGAATTCCTCCAGGCAGGAAGCAGCCAGGCTTTGAAGCTACAAAGCCATTCAATGCTAATCAAGGTGGCCTCAAGCAGACTAGAGTTCTTCTCCTACCCTGGATATCATTCCACAGATATATAAACCTCTGGGTTGTTGTGAGTTTTCTGGGCTGTTTGGCCATGTTCCCGAAGCATTCTCTCCTGACATTTCACCTGCATCTATGGCAGGCATTCTCAGAGGTTGTGAGGTCTGTTGGAAACCAGGAAAATTGGGTTTATATATCTGTGGTATGTCCAGACGGACAGAATTCTTCTCTGTTTGAGGTAGGTGTGAATATTTCAATTGGTCACCTTGATTCCCTCACTTGCCTAGTTTCCAGCTGACCTTACAACCTCTGGGGATGCCTGCCATAGATGCAAGTGAAACATCATGAGAGAATGCTTCGGGAACATGGCCACACAGCCCGGAAAATTCACAGCAGCCCAGAGCTTTATATATCTGTGGAATGTGGTCGAAACGTCAGGAAATATGCTTCTGGGACATGGCCATACAGCTTGAAAAACTCACAGCAACCCATGCCCCCTTTGCTTTCTCTATGTCTGCTCTCAGTTAACCGGAACTCTCAAGCAACCGGCAAACAAACGGAGCAACTAATATTGTCAATAAAACCTCTCTTTTTTTTTTTGCTGTGAAACGGTGTTACATGAAGTTCTTTTATCTTTCTTCATCTTAATTTGCTGTTAATGACTGTATTTCAGTATTAATATCAAGGCAATAAAAGGTAAAGGTAAAGGTTGTCCCCTGACATTAAGTCCAGTCGTGTCCGATTCTGGGGGCTGGTGCTCATCTCCATTTCTCAGCTGAAGAGACCACGTTGTCCATAGACACCTCCAAGGTCATATGACCGGCATGACTGCATGGAGCACCGTCACCTTCCTGCCGGAGCGGTATCTATTGATCTACTCACATTTGCATGCTTTCAAACTGCTAGGTTGGCAGAAGCTGGCGCTGACAGCGGAAGATCAGGCCACTCCCTGGATTCCAACCTGCGACCTTTCGATCAACAAGCTCAGCAGAAAAGTGACAATGCATATAGTATAATATTACATCGGGCCATTTTGACAGGCGCTCTCAAGCAACCAGAAACGACCAATTCCTATGGTGCCGGTTAACTGAGAGTATACTCGAGGTGTGAAGAGAGACGGGGTGATGATGATAATGATGATGGTGATGCTGATGTCTTAAAGGAAGACCAAGCCCAGGGGAAGGAGAAAGAAAGCCCAACTCCCTAATATCCTGGGGGGGAGGGGGGGTCACCGCCTTGGTAAACTTTCTAGCCAGCTCTGTTGCTGTTGTGTTTTCCCTCTTCTTCCTTTCCGCGCTTTTCGTGACATCCAGTCCACCTTTGGGCGAAACGTCAGGAGAGAATGCTTCTGGAACATGGTCATAGAGCCTGGAAAACTCACAGCAATCTAACCCACCTGTTTTTCTCACCTCAAACGCGGAGCCCTCGGGTTTCCCCTCAGTCGGAGTTCCTGCCTCGCAGGAGCAGAGCGGGGGACCCAGAGCTGTGCCAAGGCAATTCTCTCCCTTCCCTTCCCCTCCCTTCCCTTCCCTCCTTGGAGACCGTCTTTCGCCTTACTATCCGGGGGCTTCGGTTTCCGCCTCATCCTTCCATCTCCTCGCCCTTCCTCCTCCTCTTCCTCCTCCTGCGTGGACCCGGTCTGTGCTTCTCCTCCTCCTCCTCTCGAGACAAGACCTGAGGCGTCAAAGCGCCATCGCTTCGCTTTTATAGACCCCCCTCCCTTCTTCTTCTTCTTCCTCCTCCTCCTCCTCTTCTTCTCCCCGCCTAGTCACCTTCCTCCTCCTCCTTTCCTCCCTTTGGCATCCTTTCCTTCAAGTTGGCAGCACCTACAACCCAAGGATCAAAGGGGTCTGCCTTCTCCCTCGGGGTCATGGACGACAAGAAAAACCTCTCCCCAAAAACCCACGCCCTATGAGAAGAGGATGTCTCCTCTCCAGCCTCCCTTTACCTGGGAGAGGGGTTTCTATGGAGGGAGGGAGGATGACTAAAAGGATGGGGATTGAGGGGATTCTGCTCGCCTCCATCCCTTAGACCCCATCGTTCACCCCCCATACCTTGGTGGAAGGAGAGCGGCTCCCGGTCCGTGGATCTCAACTTGTTGGGGCGGCGGGCTGGCTGGCCTCCTTCCTCGCTGCCCTCTTCAGGTGGCCCTTTCCTCGCCCTTGGCAGCCAGCGCCCGAAGACTAAGGAGCCTCCCTCTCCTCCACCTGCTGCTAGGAAACCTCCCTTTTGTCATCAGGAGAGAGAGAGAAAAGAGAGAGAGAGATGAGACGCGCGGGCATCGCAGCGGAGACAAACCATCACCAAAACATGGGGAGGGGAGAACGGAGGGAGGGAGGAGAAGGGAAGGAAAAGAGGCAGCGTCGTGGAAGTCATGGACTCACAACATCGCACCGAGGACTCTGGTCTAAACCAGGAGCCAGCTCCCATTCGGATCCAAGGTGAAAAGGTCCCCGCTTTTTGCTTTGGGAAGCGGCGAGGAGGGAGCTGTCCCTTTCAGCACCACTTCCTCAGCACTCTGTGTCTCCACCGAGGCGGCCACGGGAGACCCTCACTATTCACACTCACATACACACAGGCGGGATCTTTGAGGTGGGCGGCTGTCTTGAAGAGAATCCGCACCCCCACAAACATAGACAATACACATGGGATGTGTTGTTGAAGGCACATGCTTCCACAACACATCGGATCTTTTAGGTTTGTGTGTGTGTCAGGAGCGACTTGACTTAAGTCACTTCTGGTGTGAGAGAATTGGCCACATTTATGGCAGGCATCCTCAGAGGTTGAGGGGTCTGTTGGAAACGAGGACAAGTGAGATTTATATATCTGTGGAATGATGTCCAGGGTGGGAGAAAGACCTGATTGATTCAAGTGTGAATGTTGCAATTAGTCACCTTGATTAGCATTGAATGGACTTGCAGCTTCAATGCCTGGCTGCTATTCATTTATTTATGGTGTCAGAAGCGAACTGAAGGTACAGGTGTAATGTATTTAAAAGCACAAAGTTAAAAACTTGGCATTATACAAAATATACTTTGAGCATAAGGTGGCCACTTGGAGTGCCTCTGATGTTGCTATAAGAAGGTCCTCCGTTGTGCATGTGGCAGGACTCAGGTTTAATTGTGATAGGTGTTCTGCTGCTTCCTGCCTTGGAGAATCCTTTGTTGGGATGTGTTAGCTGGCCCTGATTTATTCAGGTCTGGAATTCCCCTGCTTTTTGAGCGTTGCTCTTTATTTACTATCTTAATTTAGTGGGTTTTATTAAAAAATACTGGTAACCAGATTTTGTTCATTTTTCAAAGGAACTACTGACCACATATGAAAGCTGATGAATGAACACAATTTACAGACCCTTTAAGAAAATCTAATAAATTCTCCATTCAGCAAAGGAAAAGAAGGATCCCCTCACCTTTGCAGAAGTCTAATGTATACTATGCAGCCGTGGACAAGTCTACCTAGGGACCACCCAAAGCAGCAATGCCCAAACACAAATCAAGGAACATGAGAATTGGCCGTCTACAAGGATATTGCCCAGGGGATGCCCAGATATTTTGATGTCTTGGCCATCTTTGTGAGAGGCTTCTCTCATGTTCCCACATGAGGAGCTGAAGCTGACAGAGGGAGGTCATCTGTTAATCCGATCTGTCAGTCTTCAATCCTGCATGCACAAGGGTTTAACCTATTGCATCACTGGGGGCCCCATCTTTTAGGTGGGCGATTGTATTTGAAAGCAGTCCAGGAGAAACCCTCCTATCCCCAACTCTCCCTGGAGAAAGGCGCCTTTTTTTGCTCCACATCTTTCCTCCTTTACAATTCCAAGAGCCTTGGGAGCTTGGGGAGATGTTTTATCTCACATTTCCTTTCAGGTGAGGAACTATGCAAGGAAGAGCAATGGCAGACACAGAGATGGGGAAGGAGTCAGACAGAGCTTGACCCTTCTTGATGGAGCTGTCACTTCAGCACCACTTTTTCAGCAATCTAGTCATTGGCCTGGCAACAGGAGACGCCTTGATGCACCTACAGAGAGGATCTTTAGATGAGCAATTGCCTTTAGGAGCAATCCATGTACACACACACACATTTCCAACTCACCCTTGAGAGAGAGAGATCTTTACTCCCCATCTTCTCTCCAATTCAAGTTCATTTCATTCCAAATGCCTTTGGAATTCAGAGAGTTGTTTATCAAGTCTTGTTTATCAAGTCTTTGTTGTTCTTGTTTATCCATTCAGTCGTTTCTGACTCTTTGTGATCTCATGGACTAGCACACTCCAGAGCTCCCTGTCAGCCATTACCACCCCCACATCCTTCAAGGTCAAGCCAATCACATCAAGGATAGCATCCATTCATCTTGCCCTTGGTCAGCCCCTCGTCCTTTTTTCTTCCATTTTCCCCAGCACCATTATCTTCTCCAAGCTTTCCTGTACTTCATCTTTGCCTCCAATATCCTTCCCTCCAGTGAGCAGTTGGGCTTTATTTCCTGGAGTATGGACTGGTTTGATCTTCTTGTGGTCTAAGGCACTCTTAGAATTTTCCTCCAACACCACAGTTCAAAAGCATCTATCTTTCTTCACTCAGCCTTCCTTATGGTCCAGCTCTCACATCCATAGGTTGCTACAGTGAATACCTTTGCTTTAACAATGCGGATCTTTATTGCTAGTGTAATGTCTCTACTTTTCACTATTTTATCGAGATTGGTCATTGCTCTCCTCCCAAGAAATAATCATCTGATTTCCTGGCTGCAGCCTGTCTGCAGTAACCTTTGTGCCTAGAAATACAAAATCTGTCACTTCCTTCACATTTTCTCCCTCTATTGCCAGTTATCACTCAATCTAATTGCTATAATCTTGGTTTTTTATGTTTAACTGCAACCCAGCATTTGCACTTTCTTCTTTCACCTTGATTAGAAGGCTTCTCAGCTTTCAGCCATCAAAGCGATATCATCGGCATATCCAAGGTTGTTAATTTTCTTCCAGCAATTTTAACTCCAGATTTGGATTCATCAAGCCCAGCAAGTTGCATGATGTGTTCTGCATACAAGTTGAATAGGTTGGGTGAGAGTATACAGCCCTGCCATACTACTTTCCCAATTTTGAACCATGTTGTTCCGTGGACTGTTCTTACTGTTGCTAGTTGGTTGTTATACAGATTCCTCAGGAGACAGACAAGGTGACTTGGTATCCCCATGCCCAAGCATGTAGCCGGGGGGGGGGGGGGGCTTGAGGGGCTTCAGCCCCCACCCCCGAAATTCTCATGGTGGTTCGCGAAAAGGCCTTACTGGTGCATTATTTAAATTGTTATGTTTATTCATATCATGATCTGATCACCATACTCAATATATCCCATATGCATGGGGGTATTGGGGTAATGATACAAAAGGTTTGCTAGGCTAGACCCTCTTTCACTCAGACTCAGCCCCCCCGAAACTCAGCCTCCCCCCCCCCACCCCCCCCCTGAAAAAAATTCACACACACCCCAAATCGAAATCCTGGCTACGGGCCTGCCCATGCCATAAAGAACTTGCCACAATTTATTATGATCTACACAGTCAAAGGCTTTAGAATAGTCAATAAAACAGAAATAGGTGTTTTTCTCAAACTCCCTACCTTTCTCCTACATTTCCTTACAGGTGAGGAACTGAGAACCTTGGCATGTGATGTACAGGTGCCAAGGAAAGGCAATGGCAGATACAGAAATACAGCAGCAGTTAGATGGAGTCCTTTTCATTCCTTCTGGATTTTTGTTTCTATTCTATGGCTCACACATAAGAATACTATCAGCCCTCCCTATCCACAGATTCTGAGCTTAACCCATCTTCATAATGTTTTCCCTTCAATGCCACTTTTAAAGCATTCCAGTCATTAACATGGTAACCGGGACCCCACACACGGGACCTTTATGTGGGTGATTGCCTTTAAGAGCAGTCTGCATTCCCACATCCATTCCCAGCTCGCCCTTGAAAGAAGCACCTTTGCTCCCCATTATTCCTCCTTTATTTATAAAGTTGTGTATTCAGTATAGATGGCTCTCTGAGTCACATGGAATGTTTTCATTTTCTGTTTCTATTTGGAAGTAGGTGGTTTCTCTAAGGTAGTTAAAGAGACACTCCAAGCAATCTTGCTAGCCACACAACCAGGAGATAACAACGCAGGCTCCTTGGCTTGGAAATGGAGAAGGAGACCTCCCTGAGAGCCGGAGATGAGCACCACTTCCAGAAGCTGGAAATGAAAGGAGTTGCCTCTGCCTTTGTTTGTGTTTGTCTGTCTACAATCTGTATATGATTGTAAAGGCATTGAATGTTTGCCTATGTCTGTAAATGCTGTAATCTGCTCTGAGTCCACTAGGGGAGAAGGGCGGAATATAAATAAAGTGTATTATTATTATTTCTTTTCACTTCAAGAGCCTCTGGTCCTGGAAGAGTTGTTTCTCTCACCTGTAAGTGGTATTTCCCTACAGCTGAGGAACTGAGCCTTCAGCACCAGGCACCAGGGCTCTTTTCACTCCCCACGGCTCTGTTTCTATCCCATGGCTCACACATGAGAATACAGTCAGTCCTCCCTATCCACGGATTCTGTACCCACCATTTCAACCACCCATAGCTTGAAAATATTTTTTTCAAGTTTTGTCATTGTATATTAGGGACACCATCTTACTATGCTGTTGTCTATAATGTCACTTGAGCATCAACAGATTCAAGTATCCAAAGGGTGTCTCGGAACCACACCCCATGGATATCATGATTCTACTGTAGTCCTAAACTGTTCCAACTTATTCTCTGGGAGCTCAATAGGAGCTGGAGAACATAATCCAATGTTGATTTGTTCCTTAGCGCTCAAAAATTACACTAGAAAAGCAACTAGATTTGATTGCTGCCTGTGTATATGTATCTTCAAGATCCCAATTAACTTTTGTTAACCCCATGGATGTCACAGGGTTAACACTCAGAGGTGGTTTTGCCAGTTCCTATCTCTGAAATATAGCCTACAGCACCTGGTATTCATTGGTGGTCTTCCATTCAAGCACTACAGCCCTTTAAAAAGAAAAATAGTTCTAAATCTGAGATCTAGAAAATGGGTTGGCAATATGTTTTGGTTCATGCAGCTCTATATATAGATATAACCCTAAAGACACTTACACTTGCCCATCTCACTCCTACCATTTTCCTTGGGGGCAAAAAGGCCGCCATGAGAACAAGGATGAGCAGAGAAGTGACCAAGTTTGGCAGTGACACAGACTTATTTAGGGTAATGTGAATATAAACTCTGGTCTTTAGGGTAGTGAAAAGTATTTAGAGTAGTGAGAACAAACATGTATGTTCTCATAAATTGTGAAGGTTCTTTCCAAATTGGGAAAATGAACATTAAAATAGGAAATGAGATGTAATGTAAGCGTGTAGAAAGTGATTCATATTGGGACCAAAACAACCCCAGTTTCACACATGTGGGATCTGAGATGACAGTGACTGACTAAGAATTTTGAAGTTGTGGTAGAAAGCTCCATGAAAACATTAAAGAACTGTGTGACTACTCTTTATTTTTATTTTTATTTTTTGCTTCTTTTAAAGTAAAATTTTACCACATTGGGCTTAGAAAAGAAATAAAAAGTAACACTGACATGATTATATTGAAAACAACC